TATAGCTGAGCAGCTCCGCTGCCACCTGCAGGAAAATGATATGTTTGAAGTCTTTCAATCAGGATTCAGAGCTCATCATAGCACTGAAACGGCACTAGTCAAAGTCACAAATGACTTACTACTAGCTGCCGATAATGGACAAGTGTCAGTGCTGGTCCTACTGGACCTTAGTGCTGCATTTGACACAATAGACCACAGCATTCTACTGCAGAGGCTAGAATGTGATATAGGTCTTAGAGGAACAGCCCTTGGCTGGTTTAAATCCTATTTATCAGATCGATATCACTTCGTCAATGTGAATCAGGACTCGTCGCCTTATTCTGGAGTGGAATTCGGTGTGCCGCAGGGTTCGGTACTCGGACCGATTCTTTTTACTCTCTACATGCTGCCACTGGGAAACATTATTAAAAAGCATGGAATTAATTTCCACTGCTATGCAGATGACACACAGCTTTATCTGTCGATGAAGCCTAATCAGACAGATCAGCTAGAAAAGCTCAGTGCCTGCATAAAGGACCTTAAAATGTGGATGACTCTTAACTTCCTACTTCTCAACCCGGAGAAGACAGAAGTGATCCTACTCGGTCCGAAGCGCCTGCGTGACTCCCTCACTAACCAGATGGTTACTCTCGATAATGTCAGTATAATACCCAGTAACACTGTGAGGAATCTTGGAGTCATTTTTGACCAAGAACTCTCCTTCAAGGCTTATATAAGCCAAGCAACTAAAACGGCGTACTTCCACTTACGGAACATCGCTAAAATTAGGAATTTCCTTCCTAAAAGTGACGCGGAAAAACTCTATTCACGCGTTTGTCACCTCAAGGCTCGACTACTTTACTACTTTACTGGCAGCGTGCCCTAAAGCCTCTTTGAAGAGCTTCCAGCTCGTTCAGAATACAGCAGCTAGGATCTTAACAGGTACCAAAAGGAGGGAGCACATAACTCCGGTGTTAAAATCACTCCACTGGCTCCCTGTGGAGTACAGAATAAAGTTTAAAATCCTACTCTTAACATATAAAGCCATAAATGGCTTGGCTCCTTCTTATCTCCAAGACACGTTAGTGTCGTATCAACCAGGTCGAGCGTTGCGCTCACAAAACGCCAGACGTCTGGTGGTCCCTAAGGTCTCAAAGGTCACTGTTGGTGGCAGAGCATTTAGCTACCAAGCTCCTTTACTGTGGAATCAGCTTCCCATTTATGTTAAGGAAGCAGATACGGTCTCCACATTCAAGGCCAGGCTTAAAGCACTTTACTTTAATTTAGCATATAATTAGGTAATATATAATATGTAGTGTATATATTATATATATATGCTGTATTATGTTATATATTATGTTATATATTATTCAATAATGTATTGTGTTATGTTGTATATTATGTTATATATTATGCTGTATGTTATTCTTTATTCAAGGCTAGGTTTAAAACAGTCCTCTTTAGTTTAGCATATGGCTAGGAAGGTAAGACTCGGAGAAGGTTAAACTCCTCAGAGTGTCAGTCAAGCTGCATAGGGAGTCAGTTTGCTGGGAGAAGTATGGTAACTTGAGCACTATCCTCTCCTCCTTCCTACTTTATCTGTTTAGCATTTTTAGGATTCTGACTGTAGTTTGTTCATTGCTATTCACCCGTTGTCCCATTGTCTGTTTCATGGTACGATGACGGGATCTCTGAGCCTGGCCTCCATCTACACCTGCGGACTGCCCCGCCCAACCCGCCTGGGAGTGCTTCGGTCCTGCACCGGACCTGTCCACGTTCAGCGGCCACTGGTCCACGTTCTGTAGCTAGCTTAGGTCCTAGATCATTAGCCTGTCCGTCCGGAGGAGCGGATCCCTTTCTCATATGGGTCTCCCTCCCTGTGGGTTTCGCTAGTGCTCCCCAAGGTTTCTCACGTTTTCCCACTGGGTTTTTTAAGAGTTTTTCCTTGTCGATGCAGGAGGGTCTTGTTGGACAGTTAGTGTCCAACAGAAAGGATTGGTGATGTTCAGGACACTTTAGCATTCTACAACATGTATGGACATTTTCTTCTGTGTGTGCTTTATATTCTTCATGTGTTTTAACTGTTGATTCTCTGACCTGTGTTGGTGATTTCAATGGTTTTGTTAAGTCCTCTGAGATGACTTCTGTTGTGACCTAGGGCTATACAAGAATAAATTGTGTATTGTATTGTATTGTGTCTGCATAGGTTTCCTCCCGGTGCTCCAGTTTCCCCTATACCCCTAAAACATGTATGATAGATCTGTATGCATTGAGTGAACGGACGGTGATGGTCGGAGGCGTCAATGCGCCAGTGAGTTCGGCGTCTCACTTCTGTCAATACAGTGTTGGTCCGTAAAATGTGCTTTATGAATAAAGTTTACTTAGTAACTTACTTACTTACTTCTACACAGGAATGTTAAAAAGACATGTTTGTTTGATTGACAAGCTGATCCGTAAAGCTGGACAGGATTTTGGCTGTCAGCTGGAGGCATTTATGACAGTGAGAGACAGACACTGGAAAAACTGCTCTCCATCATGGACAATCCTGCACATCCACTCCATCCACTCCACTGGACTATAGAGGGGCAAAGGAGCTTCTTCTCAAACAGACTCCTACAGCTCCACTGTCACAGTGAGCAGTACAAGAGCACGTTCATGCCACACTCCATCCTGCTGCACAACAAGTCACCGCTCTGTGACAGATAACCATGGATCTATAACACAAGTTGACAGCCAAAAAATGGTCAGGGGTTTCTCAACTGATTTGGACTAATGTTGGTGTTCTGAGTCCGAATATCACATGCATTTTGCTCTATCAGGTCAACTTTTTGAGATACAGCCATAGTGTTACGGATTATGTACGTCTACGTTATTATGAATTCTGCTTATCAAATTTGATGGAGTAAATAAAAACTGAATGACTTTGGATACGTTGACTTTTACTTCTTGAGGAAAACGGAAAAAACTTCAAGGGTTTCTCAGCATATCCGCAGAAATTTGTTTTTTACGCAAAATCGATAAAAAAAAATATTTCTGTAGCAAAAAATCCTGACCTGATTGAGCAAAACCAAGGTCATTTTCGGACTCAGAGCATCAAAAATTGTCTTTTTCAGCTGGAAAACCCTGGACTATTTTCAGAAAATATTTTTTTGTTACCCAGTGTGATAATATCTGGATGAGGTATTACTAGCTTATAGCTGTCCCACCCATGGACACAGGGGGCGCCCGTGGTACTGCAGACTACATTCACGTGGACTACCCAGAAACAACTCAATGTAAACAAAACCAGCTCGACCTCAGAGAACAGAGAACCCACAGCTTTCAGAAAGATCGGATTTTGTGGGGATTTTAGTGTCCCTTGTCATCCTGAACTTTTTTTCTTCTTAAATCCTTCGCTTTAAAGAAAACCGTCGGTTTTCACACACGCGTATTTAGTGCAACGCATCATGGGAGCTCGTCCACTGCGCAGAACCGGGAGGACCAGACGATGCCCAAAAAAGTTCCACTAATCTCTCGGTCCTGGTGAAGTCCCATGCGCTACTGAGCACAAGCCATTCATTTGAATAGGGCGCCATCTTGGATCACCCGGGCTTGCAGATAACACATCTAGAGACTCAAGTTTATCTGCTTTGTCCTTGTCTATATTATATATTAACAGATGTTTTGTCTCCTATCTCTGTATTTGATTGTAAATGTGTACATATTCACAGATATATATACACATACATATTTTATAATACCTATATCCAGATTATTCTATTCTCACAGTATTATCTTATTATTATTATCATTATCATTATTATTATTATTATTATTATTATTATTATTATTATTATTATTATTATTATTATTATTATTATTATTATTATCATCATCATTATTATTTTCAGATTGTTACTTTAATGTTATTATTATTGTGAAACACTTCGTAAGCTACTGTGACAACGCAACTTCCCTTGTGGATCATGTCTAAGTCTAAGTTTGGGTCCTGAGCCCTGACTAGAACCAGGAAGTACGACCACATTAGTCCAGTCCTCAGGTCTCTGCTCTGGCTCCTGTGGCTCAGAGAATAGACTTTAAAACAGCTCTGTTTGTCTCTCCATGGCCTCACACCAAGGTACATAAGTGACATTTTAGTGCCTGCTTTACACTAACAATTTTCAAATCCGGATTAAAAACAGTTCTCTTTAGCTGTGCGTACAAGTGAAGCATTGTATCTTTACTCTGTTTTAATTCTTCATGATTTTAATGTCTCTTCTGTTTCTCTTGTTACCTTGTCTATGGACTATTCTCTACATATACACTTGCCTTCCCCTTCGTTCTTTCTTTTAAACAATAACACTCAAAAATAAGATAATATTGATATTACCCAATCCCGAGAGCCTCTTCACATCCTGATAGTCAATATCCCTGTGTGTGTGTGTGTTCACAGTGTGAGCTTAAAGCAGCGGCAGAAGCAGAGGTTTGGATGCTGACAGGCTTTGATATTGACTCTTGCCACAACATCAGAGAACCACACAGAGCACACACATAAGGACTGCACTCAGGGACATTCAGCCTAACTTTATACATATACTGAAAATTTAAACAGTATGACAGCTTCTCTCAAACACAACTCTATGCCACGGAGAGAAGTCACGGCACAAGCAGCAAAAAAAAAAAGAAATAAGTGCTTGACAAGTAAACAAGTCACATCAGCACAGACATTTACAAACCACCAGATGAAAAAGCACCGTTATTTGCGGAAACCAAGTCCCAGTACATAGCGGCTTCAAGTAGCGAGAAAGAGAGAGAGAGAGAGAGAGAGAGAGAGAGAGAGAGCAATGCAGCCGCAACTAAAGAGGTGACATTTTCAGCTCATTAACGGCCTCTGTGGCATATCTCCTACTGATGCTGTGGTTTTTTTTGATCCGACATCCCCCACAGTAAGCCACAGTATCGCAGTTTTGTAAACCTGAAGAGTGGCGGCTCTTTAAGTCAGGAAAGAGAGAAGAAGAAGAAGGAGAAGAAGAAGAAGTCACCTCGGCTGCGGGCACTCCCTCTGGGGGCCGGCAGTGCAGGACGATCATCCCGTTTAGAGGCACCTCGGAGGCCTGGGGGTCCTGCTCGAAGTTCTTTCTCAGGTCTGAAAAGGCAGTAAGAGAAGGGGACGCATAAATACACTGCAAAAACTGTAAAATATGAGGTAATAAAATGCTCAAGTCAAGTGTTTTTTTTTAATCTTATGAGCATATTCTGACAAGATTTGCCAATGGGACAAAGCCATTTAGTCTTATCTCAAGAATTGTAGCATTTTTTTTCTCATTCCAAAGGAGACGTTTCTTGTAATTTTGCATTTTCAAGTCAGGTTCGATATATACGTATGAGATCCTGAGATCCTTTATGCGTGATAAAAATAAGACAAACATTGCCTAAATCTTGCAAAATGTCTCTTAATTTGGGTACTGTACATTCTTCCAACAAGATTTGCCAATGGGACAAAGCAAAATGATCTTGTTTTAATAATATACAAGAAATCCTCCCCTGGAATGAGAAAAGAAAGTAACAATTCTGGAAATAAGACTAAATGGTTTTGTCCCATTGGAAAATCTTGTTTTACGACAGTCAGAATGTGCTCAATTCAAGCAATTATTATCTCATATTTTATTATTTTTTGCAGTGTAGAGTGAATTATGAACAAAATCGTTAACAAATCTAGGGTAGTTTCCAGTATCTATCTATCTATCTGTGTATCAATCTATATATCTATCTATCTATCCATCTATATCTATCTGTGTATCAATCTATCTGTGTATCATTCTATATATCTATGTATCATTCTATCTATCTATCTATGTATGTATCTATCTATCTATCTATCTATCTATCTATCTATCCATCTATCTATCAATCTGTGTATCAATCTATCTATGTATCTATCTATCTATCTATCTATCTATCTATCTATCTATCTATCTGTGTATCTATCTATGTATCTATCTATCTATCTATGTTTGGTTAAAGCTGTGGTATGTGACTTTTTCCATAAATGACACATGCAAAATAAAAGAAAATTGGGAAGAAAGGAGAACACAACATGCTGACTTCCTCGTATTAGAAAATATGTCATCTTTATCCCATCCCTGAGTCACACTGTCTGTCGCTTTGGGCTGAGGGCTGAGTAATTGCGGCCTCAAAAAAGTCAGAGAAAAGCTGATCTAAAAGATGTGACAGAGGCAGAGCTACATGCATGTGAAAACTACTGATAAAAACAAACTGATTTATGAGCGAGAAACAGATTTTTTTTCATCATATTTTTGTGTGGATTTTGTTTTGTTTCCATGGCCTTGCACCAAATGTCAGTGCCATATGAACCAACTCGGACTCTGAGGAGCACAGGGACTAGCCTCCTGCTGCTGCCCGGAGTCAGGACTGAACTTGGAGAGGCTGCATTTCAGATTCATGCCGCAAAAATGTGGAACAGTCGTCTTCTCTGACAAAGTTCAAATCCAGGTTAAGACAAGTTCTGTTTAGCTGTGCATACAACTGAAGGATTGTATCTTTACTCTTATTTATGACTGAAATTGCGTGTATGTTTGTTTCTATCTTGTTTTGTTCATCACTTTGAGTTGCCTTGTGTATGAACTGTGCTACACAAATGTACTTTTTAACCTTTAACATGTTTGCACACTTCTGTCTTTTGCACAATCTGAGTGATTGTACATTTCTGCAGTGTGAAGTTAATAAAGTCTATTATATCTTAACTCATCTTACTTGCCTTGCTTTACTCTGACTTTAAGGTGAGGACCAATCTCCAGGAATTATACATAAGTAGTGTAAGTATTGTGACCCTTGTGCAGAAACACCTATTGTTAGAGCGATCTGACGGTTTTCTAACGGCCGCTTTAACATTCTACCTGGTGCTGGTGTCACATATCAAACCTTCCCCTTCAAACAAAGGTAATCAGACATCAAACGCCTCACGACAAAGGCAAACAAATGTGCAGTGCAGTGGGTTCAATAGTATCGGGTGATGTGAAGTGGCTCTCCTTACAGGCGATGCGGACAGTTGCCTTGCGGCTCTTGGAGGTTCCCAAGTGGCTCCAGGCCACACACAGACACCAGTAATCCTCCGGGCCGTGGAAGTCCTCCACCTGCTGCCGGGACACGTTGATCATCACCTCACGGATCTTCAGTCCTATACAACAAAACACAACATTCATTTGTATTTTAATGTTTGCAGAGTATAATGTGCAGCCATTAACATTAATTAACCTTCTTTAGGCGCCACGGTCAACTGAAGCCGACGAGATGCGGTGCTGTGTAAAATGGATTTGCACTTTTCTACTATTTCTTTGTTTACTATGTATCATGGTACAATGTGGGCTCTGTTTGTGTGTCCATGTTCTAGTGATTTGTGTGCCTGTCTGTAAAAAAAAGATTCTAAAATCCTAGTTTGCTCCGCCTTGATGTCAAAATATGCAAATTAGATGGGTAAATTTAATCCCTACATAAACAGGGGTGTCTTTAATATTTCTATTATTTACAGAAAGCCTCTATATTTCTTTCACTTTTAAGATATGGCCTTTTTAAAAATAAGATGTGAAAGATGTGAGTGTTTTAGGAAAAAAATTCTGGTGCTTAAAGGGTTAACACACTTTGAAAGGGGTGAGACTCAGAAATGTTGTACTTTTAGCCACTTCTTTTCCAACCATTTGCTTAGAATGTATATGAACTCACATCTTGTCTACATGTACAGTACATGTTTGAAATAAATAAGATAAGATAAACTTTATTGATCTCACAATGGAGACATTCACATATAGCTTTGATAGATTGAGGTTCAGTGTTGCTAGTTACAGAACAGTAAGAATGAGGAGCACTCATCACGAATAAGTGAATATGAATTATAGCTCAATATGAACTTTTCCCATAACTGCTCTTCTTTATTCCGTAAGAATAGTTCAGACTTCAGTCTTTTTAGCAGTCTCTTTACTCTTTACACACACACACACACACACACACGCACACACACACACACACACACACACACACACACACACACACACACACACAAAGACACAGACGGTTACAATCTGGCGGGGTAATAAAACACTGGGATCAAACTCAGTTATAAACCACAGATATTTAAGATATTCATTCATTTTCAACCCTTTTATTCGGCCATTTCTGGGTCGAGGGGGTAGCAATGTGAGCTGCAACTTACGGTATGTGGGGTTAAGTGTCTTGCCCAAGGACACAACGACAGCAGACTTTAGTGGGAGCAGTTGGAGTAGGTCTCATGAAGGGCTCGATCCCACGACCTTCCGGCCCAAACTACCAACTGAGCTACTGTCGCCCCAGAGTGAGTAACAGAAGATAAACTGTTGATCTCACAATAGAGTAATTTACAAGAGGCATTAACTTTTCAATGAAAGTGAATGGTCAAAACTTTACCCATGAGCACTTCCCTATATAGACATCATTGAGCTCACAGTTTATCACAATCCACGCAGTCAATGCTCCGCACCTCTGCATTCATAAAAATCATAACTTAAAAAACTTCTAACTGTTATTCGACCTTCACACGTCTATTTGTTCTTTTTGCTTCATATGGACCGTTTCATGCGTCTGAATTAAAGATTAAACATCACATAAATAAACACACTCTTTGAGCCACTGTCACCGAAATGGCCACGCGACGGGTACAGCCAATAACCCCAGATGTTGTATACGCCAGCTCATTATTAGCATTTGACACTATTAGCTCAGAGACACACAGCCGAGCCTTCAGGGATCAGTTCTGTGATAAATGGCTTCTTCAAGTAGCTCAATTACATGCAGACGTTTGAGGACAACACAACAAGCACAACATTGTAATTACTAGACCGTGATCTGTCCAATTTTCCCTGCTTTTCTCTATCTGGCAATACATCTGTGTGATTTTTGGTTCAGTGTGTTTCTTTGTCCCATCGCTGGCAAGAGCACACACCAGGCCTGGGTATCGGTACGTGCCAGGTACTCGTGGCTCCATGATCCAAGTGCTGCTAAGCTCGGGAAGCTTTGGAATCATGCAGCTCAGAAAGAAAGAGGGAGAGAGAGAGAGAGAGAGAGAGAGAGAGAGAGAGAGAGAGAGAGAGAGAGAGAGAGAGAGAGAGAGAGAGAGAGAGAGAGAGAGAGAGAGAGAGAGAGAGAGAGAGAGAGAGAGAGAGAGAGAGAGGAGGGGTGGACTGCAAAAAGTGATGCAAAATAAGTCAAAAATGGCTAGAATTTGGCTTCATTTGAGTACATTATGACTGCCTTTAAACAAGACTTACTAATGGGAAAAGCTAAATTTAAAAACATTAGAGCTGGTTGGGGCCAGGACTATACAAGGGGAATATTTTTACATAATTTCGTCTTTTGACAAATTAACTGTATTTTGCAATGAGTTTGGACATTATTTTCATATTCGTTTTGTCTGTATTCAACCAAGAAATTATGTTTTGGAAGGCTGAAAAAATCCCCAACGAATTAAATAACTATAACTTCTGGTTAGCTAACATTTTAGAACATATTAAATTGTATGTCTGTTCTCCTGGGAAAATAAGCTTTAAAAAAAAGTATACTATGCCAAAGTTTCCAATTACCATCAATGCTGCAAGTTTCTGTCATAATGATAATTGAAAATCATATCGAGGGCCACCAAAAAATGGTCTGCGAGCCTGATTTTGGCCACGGGCCTGAGTTTGACATGTCTGCTTTAAACAGACACAAGAAATGTGTCAGTTGGAATGAGAAAAAAATGCAGCAGCTCTTGAAATGACACCAAATGGCTGTGACCCATTGGCAAATCTTGTTAGAAGACAATCAGAATCGACTCAAATACAATAAAAAACCACTAGATTCAAGCCATTATTACTTCATATTTCACCATTTTTTGCAGTGTGTCTGTTTCATGCTGCACAAAGGGTGTTTTCCGGTAGGTTTTTTTACTGGTTGGTGGGATCTAGAGGCAGCATGGGTACGTGGTGGGTGGCAGAGTGTGGGCTGAGGTGGATGGATATAGCTCGCTGTCTTGATGTGAGCTGTGCTTGGGGGAAATGTTTGTGTGAAGTGACATTGCAGCGTGCAGCCAAAGCATGTGGAGGCAGTGAGGGTTGGCTCAGGGCCAGACACAGACAGACCCTGCTAGACAAGCGGAACATGCTTCTAGCAACATCTTCGCTCTGGTCCCAGCTGTGTGTGTCATCCTTAATCCATGGACCGAGGGGACACATTACTTTATGCCTGACAAAATATGGTCATAACTCAGCCCTTAAACTGCACGTAGATCTGTATTTATGTCTTCCGCCAGCCGTTTTAGCTTGTTTATATTTATGACGGATGCACCTTTTTGCCAGGCCCCACATTTTGGATATATTTCTCTTGGATGGGCCGCTTAATTGGATCCGACAAGAGGTCAATACACCAGAAGTTATAGACTTATAGTGTATATAGCGCATCTACTTTTGATGCAGTTAGTTTTCATACTTTAGATCAGACATGTCTAACTCAGGCCCGTGGGCCAAATTCGGCCCGCAAGACAATTTTGAGTGGCCCTTGAAATAATTTTCTTATCTAATCATAATCTTTATTGCAGTTAACTTGCAAAATACAGGGGATACTATGCCATTTTAAAGGCTGTTGTTTCAGGAAATCAATCATAGAATTATATCTGTTCTAAAATGTTATAAGAAGATATACTTATACAAAAAGTTTTGTTTGAATCCAAACCTACTAGACAATAATATCCTCAACTCAACTCATGTCAAATACAGTAATTTTCTAAAAACACAAAATCATGAGAAAATTCCATCACTTTTATACTTGTGTTTTTAAGAGGGCTGGGACTCGATTAAAAAAATTAATCTAATTAATTAGAGGCTTTGTAATTAATTAATCACAATTAATCACATTTAAATCACATACTGTATAAATATTTGACCTGAAAACAGTTTTTTCACATGGATTTTTAGTTTACCCTTGAATAATGACTGAATACATACAGTAAGCTTAAGCAACACATGTTCATTGTGGATGATCAGATGGACTTCTTTCCCATCAAAAAACGTTTCTGTCATCACCTCCACACACTCTGACAACAACAGATGCTTTTTATGCCCAAAATCCACTGTACTCGCAGTGAGCACTAAAGCTGAGCATGCGGTGTTTGCTATAGCTTTTAATAATACGTTTTTGATGTGTGCATTTGGACATCAGCAATAGCAGCTCACACCTGTGTCTCGCTACTCCTCCTTCGCCTCCTTCTCTCACACACAGGAGTCGCTCGCTGCTCCTCCTCCTCCTCACACAGAGTCCATGGCTCCACACACAGCGCTCTTTCCCGTCTCTAACTCACTCGGATTGAGACACCGCTAAAGTTGTTCTCTGCTTGTAATAATCTACTTTTGAACCAAAAAAGGTCACGGAGCTCAGTTGGTGCTCCAGTACAATCCGGTCCGTCTGAAACTGATCCAGTGAGAAACATTCTGCGGTGCAAAAAACAATACAATTAAAATGCGTAATTTTTTTTAATGCGCACATTTTTGTGGCGTTAATTAATCTTAATTAACGCGTTAAAGTCCCGGCCCTAGTTTTTAAATTTGGCCCCCGACCAAAATGGGTTTGACCTCCCTGCTTTAGATGAAGTGTTTTACAGGTGACCATCATATAGTGGTAGATAACATCCCCAGGTTTTAAGATTAAGATTAAAAGAACCTTTATTTGTCCCACAATGGATATATTTCAATGTTGCATCACCGGTTACAGAAGAGTGGGAATGAGGAGCACACAAGACAATAACTCATGAACAAATACTCCATACTAAAATAAAATCTCTAAGGGTTCAAAAAGGTTCTGATTTTAATGGCCTTCTTGATCCAGAAATCAGGAAAGCTGGGCAACAACACCATCAACCGAGATGAGGGAGCCTTCCTCCTGTCCCACACATTGGACACCCTCCTCCACAGACCAGCGGACGAGAGGGGGCGTGGTCAGTCCTAGTGAACTATCAGGCTGACCCCGCCTACTCAGGAAGAAACATCAGCTGATAAATTACACCTCACCAAGGCGGGTAAAAGTTCTGAAGATGGCTCGTATAGCTCTGCAGCCAAAACATGTTAACAAGGTAATAAATACATTTAACTACAAATACATGTCAAAAGAACCACAAAAAGC